AAAACTGGGGGAGAAAACGTGAAACCCCAAGTAACCCGGAGATATACACCCAGAGAGCTCAGACGACATGCCCCGTGTGTGCCTGTCATTGTCAGAACCTGGTCTCCAGGAGCAACTCCTAAAATACACTGCATCTGAACACCACGTGGGGAGAGGCCTGACATGCTACACCCACCCCTGGAGATTTGGATTTACAGGGTCCCGAGCTGTCCTTGGACATTGGTAGCTGTTACTGTGTTTGGTTTTTATTGAAGTTCTTTAGATAATCCTATGTATTTTCTATTGCTTGATAACCAAGTACCACAAATGTAGGCACTTAAAAAGCACAAACTTATTACTTTCATAGCTTCTAAGGGTCAGGGACCCAGGAAGGGTGTAGCTGGGGTCTCTACTTCAGGGTCTCAGGAGACTGTAATCAAGGTGTTAGTCAGAGCTGGGGTTTCCTGGGAAGGCTGAGCTGGGGATGGGTGCTCTTCCAAGGCCCCCAGGTTGTTGGCGGGATTCAGGTTCTTGCAGGTGGAGGGGGTGAGGGTCTCAGTTCCTTGCTGGATGTTGGCTGGAGGCTGCCCTTGGCTCTCAGTCACGTGGGTCTCTGCAACTTGCTTCACCAAAGCCAGCAAGGGAGAGAGAGTCCACTAGCAAGACAGCAAGATGCAAGCTCACGTGGCAATCACAAGAGAGCCGTCCCCTCCTCTTTGCCCTGTTGAGCTTGCTAGTGTGAGTCACCGATCCTGCCCATGCTCCAGCAGAAGCGGGGACACCCATGGTGTATTGCAAGAGCGGAAGATCATTGCAGGCACCGAGGGGTCCGTTCAGCACAGGGATGGAATGCGCAGCCCGCACCAAGGAGTTGACTTCAAACCAGACTTGCAATTCTCACACTGGAAGAAGCATAAGCATCCCCCGGGATCTCATTAAAATACAGATTCTGGGTGACACCCGAGACTGCTTTTCCAGGTCTCAGGTGATGCCAAAGCCCTTGGTCTCCACACAACATTAGGAGCATCGTGGGCGAAGCAGATGTTCTAAGGTTCAATTCCCACGCCATCCTCAGTATCACTAAGGTTAGGGGTCATCCCTAAGTACTGTAAAGCATAAAGCTTACATAATCAGGACACTGGATTGGCCACGACCAGGGTCTCATATTCCACAAAGCATCACCGAGTACATCTCCTGCTGCCAATCAACTGGGGTAGCCACCAACCCTAATGATCTGTTTTATGAAACTTATCTTAATCAAATGAGTTAATTCTATGTGTAGGTATATACTATATGATATATATAGTAAATATATATACACATATATGTGTATATGTATATACAGACCCAATAATACTATGAAAACATGGTCATAAAATATGAACCTACTAAAATCTCCAAAGGAGACTCAATTTTGAAATAAGAATTGAGTTCCCAGTACTAGCCCTTTAAAAAAAAAAAACGTAAATGTTATTTGTCCTTGAATTTAAAATAAAAAATTCTGGAGCCCAAATATGTCTTAAAATCAATGCATACAGCTAATAGAGCGCTTCTGTTGGGTTTTGGGTTGTTGTTGCTGCAGCCATCAAAAGACCTGACAAGAAGAGTCTAGAGGGGGCAAAGTTTATTTTGGCTCCTGGTTTCAGGGGCTCAGTCCACAGTCAGCCAACTCTGTAGCTCTGTGCCCAAGATGGGGCAGAACACATTGGAGGAGGAGAGCAGCCCAGGACATGGCAGAGAGAGCTCCATTCTCCAGGGACAAAATGTAAACCCCAAAGGCACTCCCCCAGTGACCTACCTCCTCCAGACACACTGTACCTGTTAATCGGCTACAACTCTCATAATCTAATCGCGTCACCTCTGAAAATTCTCGCATGGTCTCACACATGAGCTTTTGAAGGACACCTCAGGTCTAAACCGTAACATCGTGTGAGTTTCCTGAAAACATCATCAACGACGCGGTGTATATTACTATTGCAGTCTCTTACCTGATCCCCCTCCCCCCACCTTTGTTCCTATAGTTTTTCTCTCCAAAGAGCCACCAGAGTTGACCTGAGAAACTGTAAGTCAGATCAGATTCCCGCTCTATGCAAAACCCTCCACAGCTCTCACGTCACTCAGGATGGAGTCCTGACATGGTCTATATGACTGGACTCCTGTAACCTGATCTTCTGCCTCTCTTCCTGTTTACCTCAGCCCCACGGGCCTCCCAGCTGTTCTCTGAATGTGCCAAGCACAGCCCACCCCAGGGCCTTTGCACTCACACCTCCCTCTTCCCGGGACACACTTGCTTCAATATTTGCATGCCTCGCACCTTCGGGTCCCACACACCTCTGCTCAAATATCACTTTGGCAGGCAGGTCTTCCACGGCTGCCCTATTTATAAAAGCATGTCCACTCACAGAGAGAGGAGGGTCTGCCTGCCCCGCTCACTGCCATTTCCTCAGCCCTAATAGTGCTCGGGCCATGGTGGGCGCTTGAATATTTTTGGAAGAAACGATACACTCATGGTGTCCTGGAATAAACGTTTCATAAGGAAGTTAAGGAAAAATCATGATCAGCCCAGTTTGCAGCTACAGGAAGGAGAGTCCCAGAGATGAGGTAATTCACCAAATACCAGGTGGGTGAGTCCCCAGCAGGTATTTTAGTCCTTGCTCCATTCAGAGTCCAGTGGGAGGTCAGAAGGGAAGGCTCGTGGTCAGCACTCTCTGGGGAAGGAGGAGGGTGTGGAGTCCCTGGGGTCCAGGTCTCTTCAGGGACCTCAACCACACTTGGCCTCTGGAACTGGGACAGAGAAACCCAGCGAGCTCCCGAGGTGGACCCCTACAGCAGTGTGCCTTTGCTGCTACCCCTGATGAATCCTTCGCTGCTCCGTGACTATTAACTAAGGTCCCCAGTGGACAGCAGGGCTCACTGTCTGCTTTGTGCAGTTCTGGGGGCATTGACAAGCGCACAGTGACAGCCATCCTCCATCACGGGCCACACAGGACAGTTTCCCCTGCGCCCTGCACACCCACCCTTCTCCCCGCCCCACGCCTGGCCCCTGGCAACGGCTGATTTTCAAACTATTGCTACAGTTTGAGAGTGGGATGCCCCCAAAGGCTCCTGGGTTGCAGGCTTGGTCCCCGGGACAGCAGCGTTTGGAGGTGGGATTTGGGGTGTGGTTGGATCAAGAGATGGATTAATCCACCAAGCGTGCACAGCTGAGTGGACTAGGGGGAGGTGGTGGGAACTTGGGAGCTTGTTAGGGAGAGAGGGTCTTTAGGAATGCCCCGAGAAGTGTGTCCACTGGCCCTGCCCCTTCTGTCTGCTTCCCAGTGGCCATGACCTGAGCATCTTTGTCCCACCATGATGGCTCTGCCTCGCCTCTGGCCCAAAGCCACGGAGCCAGCAGCCGACCAGAGACGGACACCTCTGTCCCGTGAGCTAAAATCAATCATCTCTCTTCGGAGTGTTTCCCTCAGGTATCTGGTGTCTCCTTAGCGCTGCCGCGACAGAAGGCCCGGGTCGCAGAGGGTGTGGCCGGGCCTCCTTCCCTTGGCCGTCTGGAATCACCACTGAATGACCCCACCCTGCGGGTCCGTCTCCGTTTGCTTCTCCAGTCCCCGGTGGATGGACATGGTGACTTGTCTGCCACTTTTCCACGGTCACTGAGCCTGCGTGGGCTGCTCTGGGGACAGCTCGCTCCCACAGCAGACCTTTATCTCTCATCCCACAGCTTTGAAGTCCCAGGCCAAGGTGCCAATCAATTCAGTCCCCTGGCTGCAGATGCCTGTTGCTCTCAAGCTGCAGGGAGAGGAGGCTCCAGTGTCCCCTCCTTCTTAGGAGGACACTAAGACCCTCATGGGGGCTTCTGGTCACATGGCCTCATCTAAACCCGATTATCTGCCAAAGGACCCCCCTCATAGCACCATCACGTTGGAAGTTGGGGTTTCAACACAGGAATTTTGGGGAGACTCACTCGGTCTGTGCTTCCCAAAGCCTCTTGGGCATCAGGTCAGGCTTCCAGCCCATGGGGACCCTGGTCAGTATGGCCCTGACCTCCTAGGAGGCTCTCAGCTCTTCCTGTCTTTTCCCAGAAGTCCCCTCTGTCACTCATCCTGACGGATTTTCAGAAAGCCCCCCCCCCACCATCAGTACCTTGGATAAGTCCAAATGCATCCAGGAACCACGGCCAGGCACCTACACCCAGGTTAAGACAGCCACCGCCGTCAGCCACCAGACAGTCACAAGCCCCCCGAGAACCATCCGTCTCCCTGCCGTGCCATGCTCAGGTTGTGAGGTGAGCAATGTCCCCTGGGAACTCAGAAAGTCACAAAGTGGTACCTCTACAAGGGTCCTAGGACCCTTCCCTCCCAACGCCCCACTTTAGAGGTGACACCTCTGAAGGTCACGTAGAAGAAATGGCCTGGTTCACACCGTGAGTTGACCAAAGGTGCCAGGGGAGGGGACAGAAGCCCTAGACTCCTAGACAAGAAGGTTCCCCTGGAATTTGTTCAGCTGGATAAATATTTGCTAAATAAATGAATAAATAATAGTGCTTTATAGTGACAAAGGCTCTCGGTCGGTCCTGTCTTACTAAACCGGGAAGAGATACAGAAAGAGGAAGGGATCGGCCAACAGGCAAAAGATCAAATGTGACCATGTTATCCCCAAAAGCCATGACTGTTGCGCTTTGTGTGACAAATGTGCATGAAGTTTCTACTGAGCAACAGAAGGTTGCCATCAGGACTCAGCTTCTGCCCCCAGCAGTGGTGACCTTGAGCAAGGTGGGCAGCACACGCCTGTCATCCCAGCAGCTCAGGAGGCTGAGGCAGGAGGATCACGAGTTGAAAGCCAGCCTCAGCAATGGCCAGGCTCTAAGCAACTCAGTGAGACCCTGTCTCTAAATAAAATACAAAATAGGGCTGGGGATGTGGCTAAGCACCCAGGTTCAATCCCCGGTACCAAAAAGAAAAAGAAGAAACAGGAGAACAACACAGTACAGTTATTCGCAGAGGGTTCGCATTTTATTAGCTATCATAAGTAACCTGGAGATGATTTAAGGTCCTGGGTGTGGGCAGGTTCCATGCAGATCCTGTGCCATTGTACATAAGCGATTTGAGAAACCAGAGGTTTTAGTACTCTTGGGGGGTCCAGGAAGCCACGCCCTGTGGACACTGGGGGACAACCGTAGTTAAGTACACTCGGTCTGAACTGGACAGGAAACCGGCTGCATTTGGTGAAAGGTACTTGCCTCTGGGTGCTTTTGTGTGGCATCTGCTTAAAAAACCCAACCACTCGCAGGCGCTAGGATGGGGAGGGACATTTGGCCCTCTCTTAAGACTGTCCCTGACACTTCCAAACGCTGGGGGCTCCTTCTGCTTTAATCCAGGGAATTAGCTTCTGGCCCCACCAGCGCTGTGCCCTGGATTGCTGGAGGGCAGAGGTGAGGCCTCAAGCAGGGCAGATTAATACCCGGCCGTAAATCCCGGGGCGGCTTTTAAGCAGCAGCTAGTTCTGTTTCAAGGGGGGATCCCCCCGGCCACTGACGGGCCATCTCTGGGAGGGTGCGTGTGTGTGTGTCCTGGGCCTGTTTACGAGCCCGGCCAAGCCCTCCTGAGCGGCGGCCCCCGACGCACTGCCCTTTGATCAGGGAAATCCAATACCTGAGGTCTGGGCTTTATAGGCCAGCGAGGCGGATTAGGGGAATCAACCTCAGTGGATCACAACTAATAAAACGGTGCCGGGGCCCCACCACAGAGTGGCCCCGGGGATGGGGAAGGGGTGGAAGGAGGGGCAGAATGGCTGCCCAGGGTCCTGCTAGGGTCCTGTCCTCCCTCCAGCCCCGAGCTCTCCTGGGCAGGAAGGCAGAGAGACAGACACACAGACAGACAGGCAGACGAAGGGAGGGAGGGAGGCGAGTGTCCCTGTGTGTTTTAATCTCACCTGTCTCCTCTGTTTCTTTTTCCTGTTCCCCAGGAGAAACGGTCTCCTCGACAATCTGCCGATGCATGTCCCCACGTCAGCCGTCTGTCCGTCCAATCTGTCCAGGAATGCATGGCAGGGCGCTCCGTCCTGAGTGGAATTTTGTCCCTCTGAACAGATCCATTCCAGTCCTAAACCCAGGGACCTGTGAATGTGGCCTTATTCAGAAACAGGGTCTTGCAGAAATGATCAAGGGTGTGGAGTCCCACTGGAAGGGGGCCCTGCGACCCACGGAAGGCTCCTGCCTTCAGCCTCCGGCTCCCTGCACTTGTGTCAAGCCACCAGAGTGTGGGATTTCACTCCTGCAGCCCCCGGGAGATGCATCCAAGCCCCATGTGTCACACACACCTGGCTTCTCCCTCCCAGAGCAGACGGGACCTATCCTGATGCCACGTGGTGAGCTCTGGGAATGAGAACCCCAGGGCACCTGGAGGGCTCTGGGCGCCTGGCAGAAGGCGTGTGGAAGGCACAGGGGGTGAGGTTTGTCACCGTGGTCAAGGGGATTAGAACGGAGGAAGAGGAGGCAACCGGGGAGAGGCGAGGACCCGGATGCTGGCACCAGTGAGGGACAGAGCTGGCTTGCAGTGCTCAGACTGCCGTGGCAGAGTCCATCCACCGGTGGGTGGCGTACAGTGGCGGGAGTTCTCTCCCACGGTTCTGGAGGCTGGAGGTCCAACATCAAGGCACAGTCGGCGTCTGCCGACCGCGGGAGGGTCTGCCGTGGGGCTCATGGAGAGACCCTCTTGCCTCGTCCTCACGCGGTAGGAGGAATCCCCTTCCTGAGGCCCCTCTTCTGGAACCATCTCCGTGGGGGTGAGGGTCTCAGTGTATGAACTTGGGGGACACAGACATTCAGTCTGTTGCAATGACACCTTTGCGATTCAGTCTCTGCAAAGAGAGAGAGGCGGAAGCAGCCTGCAAGTCCTGGGTTCATGGCTTCAGCAGCAGGGAGTGGCCAGGACATGAGGGACAGGCTGTGGTCAGAGGCGCCCGGGCAGCAGGGCCTCGTGGGCATTGGGGCGGTGCAGTGTTCCTGCAGGTACTCGGGGCAGCCTAAGCCCTGTGGTAGGACTTGGCCTGTGAAGGGCTGCGGGTCCAGGACCCATTCCTAGCCCCCTCACTCCTGGGTGTGGACAGCTTGGGAAAGGACCCCCTGTTAGCAAGCCAAGTCCATGGCCCAGGTGCCCCCTGCAGACAGTACAGACACTCTGGAATGTCACCCTTCACTAAACCCAAGTGCCCAGCACTGGGTCAGCACAGGAGCATCCTCAGCAAGAACAGGTGGGACCAGAAGGCTCGCTCCCCATCCAGCTCCCACCTGCAGAGGAGAGGGCACAGAGGGCCTCACCCAGGGGCAGAGCTGGGAGTCACACAGCCACAAACCAGGGGAGGCCAGGGATTGCAGGAGCCACTCAGAGCTGGAAGAGGCAGGGAAGGGTCCTCCTCTACGGCCTGGAGGGAGTGTACCTTTCTCTGTCCACCTGGGCCTCTTCTATGTCCTCATACATGCACCAACTCAATGCTGCCCCAGGGCCTTTACACCTGCTATTCCTCCTGTCTGGAATCCTCCCAGCTCTCTGCATGGCCAGGTCCCTCTGATCAGTCAGTGTCAGCTCTGTGTCTTGTCCTTCCTTACATCAGCTGTCTCCGACTCCCTCACGAAGCACACACACACACACACACCTTATCCCACTATCCTGTCTATTTGCAATTATCTCGATTGTGCATTTGTTCTACCTGGTTATCTTATCTCTGGTCTGTTATTCCTGGAGAGCAGGATCTGTCTCTTGCTCACCACTAACTCCCCAGCCTGGCACCATCAGCATGTAGCAGATGCCTAACAAAAACAGAAATACTGATGTTTCAGAAATTCTCTGTGGGTGTTGTGAATTCTATTACACATCACCCTAACCCATAGAATCATAAAATCCTACAGCTAGAAATGATCTTTCCCCCTCACACACACACACACACACACACACACACACACACACACACACACATTTTTCTGATACAAAGTATCATCGAAGCTAAGGGCCCAGAGAAGTTATGCAACTTGTTCAAGGTCACACAGCTGGTAAGTGGCAGAGTCAGGGCTAGACCCTTGCTGTCCTTCCAGTTGATCTCTATTTCACTATATGACACAGTCCTTGCTGGTTGATCCTTTTACACGTTGAGGGTTGTATCTGATTTTGAAGCCTGTCAGCCTCTTAAGGAGTCCCAGATGATACTTAGTTTCAACCTCTGAGGAGGCACTGTTATTAATAACCTGAGAAAGACTAGAGAGTCCTGTATGTTTTTCTCAACACATAAGTTTATAGCAAACAACGTAGGAATGTACCACTTGCATATAAGAAAAATGATAAGGAATGATTATTCATTTATACAAGAAACGAATCTATGCAAACTAACAGCTCTAGGCTCTCTGCGGTCTTTCTGGCCCTGAGATCTGTTTTGAGATGTGGCTTCTCCTTCTCTTGCCCAAGTTCCCACCTGTCCTCTGGAGGGCAGCTTAGAGTCCCTTGCTGGGGGCTTCCCTGAGCTCTGGCTGGGTCCACTCTGTCCCAGCTGTTCCCTGGCCCACCAGGGGCGTCCATGCCTCCCCCAGCCCCCAGCGCACCCACCACCCAGCGTCCCCATATGCTCCCCACAGGGTCACCACACTGAGGATAGTGGACAGGAAGCTCACCCACTCTCTGGCTCTGTCATCCCAAGAGCTCAGCGCAGGGTCAGGAACACAGGAGCCACCGCCGGAGACCAACCTGGATTCCTCCATCTCACCCTCTTGTGAAGCTCCCACCATCTACCCCATTGCTCAGGCTAGACGCTGGGCCTGCCACTGAGCCACCCCCAGGGACATGAATTCTGCCTTCTCAGCAGTGCATGATCCCATTCGTGTCTCAACACGGTCACAGCCAGCGCCTTGGTTGAAACTACCACTGTGGCCCTGGATGGTGGAACCGATGTCAACTCGTTGAGGCCATATAAGCCAGATGTGTGGTCCAACTCTTTGGTGAAAGTTTGCTGTTGTTGTTGTTGTTTGTTTGTTTAAGATGAGACAAACATTTGAATCAGGAGACCTGGACTAAAGCTGATTGCCCCCCATAACCTAGGTGGGCCTCGTCCAATCTGTTGAAGAGCTTAAAATTATGACTGAGGTCCCCAAAGGAAGAGGGACTTCTGCCTCCAGATCACACATAGTGGTCCTACATATTTAGGGGGCACGGTGTGACAGTTCAATGCATGTGTGGGACGTATAGTGATCAGATGAGGGCAGCTAGCGTAACTGTCACCCCAGACACATCTGTGCATTGGGAATGTTCAAGAACCTCTAATTCAACCTGACTGTTGAATTATTCAATTAATTGATATCAACCCCAGTCACCCTACTGCGCGACAGAATGCACCTGTCCGGCTGCACCAGTACCCAGTAACCACCCCCTGTCTGTCTCTTCCTCGCCGTTCCCAGGCTCCAAGATCCACTGGGTCACTCTCGGCCTCTGTGGCATGGACTGTTTAGCTTCCACACAGGAGAACGGACTTTTCACTTTCCAGGCTCCACAATCTCATGAGCTAATTCTTTAAAATAAGTGTCAGTCTATCACTTCTGACCACACACACACACACACACACACATACACTCACACCCCATGCTGTTGGGTCTGGCTTCCTGCAGAGCCCTGATTGACACACCTTCAGAACCTCAGCCTTGTTCTTCCTGCACATTTCCCCCTCTGCGCCATTGCTGATGGAGCTCCCCTTGCCTGGATTTACCTCCTTCTCGATTACTTACCCCACCCTACACCTTGGTCTCCCACTTTGCCCAAGCCCCGTACAGATCTGGCCATCCGAGACCATCCGGGGTTGTGAGTTTTCAACACACATAAAAGTACAAAAAGTAGTGTAATGAATCCTTCCTGTTCATCTCCTAGCTTCAACAACTCTCATCTCACAGCTACTTGTCTTTCATCTACATTTGTTCTTTCTTATCCATGGTTTGGCTTCCCATGGTCTCTGTTACCCACAGCTAATCACCCTCTGAAAACAGTCAATAAAAATTCCAGATATAAAAAAAATCTATAAATTTTAAATTATACTTTATTCTGAGGACAATGATTAAGTATCATTCCATCATGTTTTGTCCAGCGTATCCATGCTGTATACACTACCCACCCGTTAGTTACTTAGTAGCCATCTAGGTTACCAGATTGACAGTATCTCACTGCTTTTATTCAAGCAATCCTTATGTATAGCCTAATGCTACAGCACCCTACCTCTATCATTCTCCCTTCATCTCATCACACAAACCCTGCATCATCTCACATCATCACAAGATGAAGAAGGACAAGTGGAGTACAATAAAACATTTTGAGAGAGAGCAAGAGCACATTCACATAACTTTTGTTATATATAGTGTTATAATTGTTCTAGTTTATTGTTGTTGTTGGCGCTGCGTTAGTTGGCTTTTCATCACTGTGACCCAAAGACCTAACACAGCAAGGGGCATAAGTCTGAGGACCTTCAGCTGACACAGGGACGCTCAGGCAGACAGACCCAGGACGGGACACTATGGGTGTGTGCAGAAGCTGTATGCCACAGACCTCCCGGGGGACGGCACAGAGAGGCACCAGGAGAATCAGCTGCCACCTCCATTTGGAATGTGTATTTCCCTTAATTAAAGAAGCAGGGCATGTTTTCATTGCCTATTTCTGCTGTAATAAATGACCACAAATTTAGTGCCTTAAAATAACACCAACTGGTCATCTTCTAGCTCTGGAGAGCTGACATCAGACACGGGTCTCTCTGGGCTTAAATCAGGGCAGGGCTGTGTTCCTATCTTCGGGCTCTAGGGAAGGTTTGGTTTTCTTGTGTTTTCTAGCTTCTAGAGACCAGTTGGCTCAGGCCCCCGTCTATCTCCAAAGCCAGCAATGGGCAACACGCCTTCCTCACCCGGCCTCCCTCATTTGCTTATAAGGAGCCTTGTGACAACATCAGAGCCATCCAGACAATCCCAGAAAAGTCTCCCCATCTCAAGGTCAGCTGATTGGCAACCTTACTTCTTTGCAACTGCAGTGTCTCCTGCCATGAGAGCCAACTTCTGTGCAGATTCCAGGATTAGGGCTTGGACATTCTGGAGAGCACCGT